GTGAAGAACTTTTGTGTCATATCTAAAACTTTTCCCTCGTCAAAACACCTTTAATTCTATCTTTTCATTTTAACTATGCACAACTAAAATTACATTTTAAGGTAATTTTCGGTCTCTTTTGGGTGGTGTACAACGTGCACTTTACAATTGATTTATAATTGGACTGTGCTGACAGTGGAAAATCTTACGAGTATTGAACATGACATTTATGACAGTATTGCTGTCATCTTGGCCTCTTTTATTGAAAATGTGGAGAATTATAATTGGGCTAACAAGCCTGGTAGCCTGGCCTCTTTCCAATTATACTAACCAGGCTGGTCTAGTATTAGCTGCCTGAACACCCGTAGAAACAGGCATTTGTTTTTCTTTCTATTTTATTTTTGTAGTTTCCCAAGAACCTAAGAATTAAATCCTCTCTGCCTTTATGTAATGAGAAACGTAGCTAATTTAATTCTACCAATAATTATGAATGTTTGTTTATTATAATGTTTATTCTCTTAATTTGAGTACAATTATTTCTTATGAAAAATTGACTGTGGTTGTTTCATGGTAGATACTAATTATTTTCTCAATAATTTATGAGTTTGGGGCGTCTTTTTTATTTGAATTCATGCCCAAGTGATGATTTGAGTTTTAAGTAAAAATTATCTTCTCATAAACAAATCAACATATTGATGTATTGGAATGTATCGTTTGAAATTTTGGCAAAACTTTACAAGAAATAAAGTAGCAAGAGTTTAATTTTAAATGCAATATAAAAGAATCTATAAGAAGATATAGATATCTTCAGTTACCATAATTCTAAAATGAACTAAAATTCCATCAATGAGTTGAAACCCAATTGCTATTGAGAATAAATATTAAGAAAGGCTAAAAACTCCCTAAGTCTCCATCCTATGAATTTAAGGTTGTGTCTTTGCTAGTTCTTTTCTGTAGATAAACATGAAAACAACCCTAGATAATATCCTAAGAAAGCTAAATGTCCCTGTGTTACTTAAGGATCAGTTCATAAAGCTTTATATTGCATGATTGCGTTTAACATAAAAATACTATGAACTACCTATTTTTAATAGTCTCATGCTTCATATAAGTTACAAAAGCATGTAGTTATTAAAATAACTAAGTTAGAACTTTATATTAACCTGGAAATATAGAGACAGGAGCCAGAAAGCTAACACATGACAATAAACTTATCTATGAAAATTACATATAAAAATGTATCTTTTGGGTATTTTAAATTAAAATTAAATTTTAATATTTATAGTTTGAAATTTAAAAAATGTATGTTGTGCTACTAATTCAAAATGCTTAACACTGGCTAGACAAAAATCTGACACAGAGGGAGAGGTAATGTTTATATTCCTATGGACTTGTAAATGCTATTCACTTACTCTACCAGTAGTCAACAGATTTTTGTTATTTCGGTTTGTATTTGAACATTAACAGAAATATTTCATCTGTACTATTTAAAAAGAAAACTCAGGGCTTAATATTGAATACCCTACTGACAAATAAGCAATTTATCAATAATTTCTTTATTAATTGTGCTTGAGTTTAGGTTTTCTTTCTGTGAAGAGACATCATGACCATGGCAAGTCTGGCGGCAGACATGCTGCTGGAGAGACAGTAGAATGTTCTACATTTGGATGAGTAGGCTTCCATCCAGAAGAGCACTGTGTCACTGGGTCTGGATTGAGCATTTGAAAACTCAAGGCACACGAACCGTGAGATACTTCCTCCAATTAGGCCACACTTACTCCATTAAGAACATACCTCCTGGAAAGGACTTAATTAGGCCCTCTGAATGTGAGTGACGGTTCTGTGGCTTGAGCAGTCTGTAGGGCCACTGGCAGTGGGACCAGAATTTATCCCCAGTTCATTTCCTGACGTTTTGGAGCCCATACCCTATATTGGGATACCTTGCTCTGTCTTTATACAGGCGAAGGGATTTAACTTGCCTCAACTTTATATGCCGGACTTTCTTGACTCCCTATGGAAGGCCTTACCCTTTCTTAGGAGTTGATAGGGGGATGGTAAGGGGAGGCAGGATGAGAGGAGGGAAGGAAACTGTGGTTCTGTGTAAAATTTAAAAAAAAAAATAAAAAGTTTTAAAACAAAACCTACAGAATTAAGAAAAAATACCTCCCAATAGTGCCAGTATCTTTGAGTTTATGTGGACAATTTTATTCAAATGACGACAAATTGTACCAGCAAAATCAGTGAAAATGACAGGAAATTTATTGGTAGTTAAAACATGTCTTTAAGTTTTGTGCTGAAAATGTTCACAATATTTTGACCATTCATGCCCTCTATAGTCAGTTATACTTTAAAGTTATAAAACAAACAGCTTATATTTAGGCAAAACTTTAGTTTTCGATCAAAGATTTTCAAATTTTTAAAATTTAATTGTTCATTTTTGTATGTTTCTGAAAATGTTCAGTAAGATAAGTGGGGGCACAATAAATAAACTGGAAATAAATTTACACTTAGCTAAACTTCCTTGAAATTATTCCTTGGTTCTGAATGCCATGATGACTGAAGTATAAATCATACTTTGCCATTATTGTTCTTTAAAAAGAATATGATGATGGGATGCCCCGGGCGGCTCGCAGAGCAGCTGCTAGTCTGACAAGGACGGCTGTGGGTCCCTGCAAGATCTCCAGGGTGGCAGCGCCATGCGGCCGGGGGAGTCAGGCGGGCGGTTACGGCGGATAAAAGGCTCACAGGACAAAGTATTATTTAAAGAAGAGGGAGACATTTATTGCTTAAAGAAGAGGAAAACAGAGAGACATAAGAAAAACATAGAGAAGAACAAAGACACGTGCACAGGACAAGAGACAAACACAAGAGAGAGAAAGATGGCAATGAGGGAGGTCAGAAGTGGCTGGGGGGTGGGCATGGCTAGCTCTTAAAGTGACCGCAAAGGAATAACAGCCATAGCCTCTACTTTGTAGTAGATGTAAAACTCACTGAAGGTCTGTTAATTGAATTGAAAATTTGTATTTCCAGTTAGAGTATTGGCCACTTCCTTCACCATTAATAGGCAGCAAAAATGCATCCCTCCTTTTAAAGCACCCATTTCTGATTCACATTTCATCAATTAAAGTAATGGAATTTCTAGGTTTCTCAGTTATGAAGACAACCAACTGCCTAGATGACTTTGCTAGGGCAATGATATCAACATACCTAATGCTGTGATCCTTTATCACAGTTCCTCATGTGGTCATGATCATAAACCATAATATTATTTTTCATTTCTACTTCATAACCATAGCTTTGATGCTGTTATTAATCAAAATGTAAATATTGGTGTTTTCCGATGGTCTTAGGTGACCCCTGGAAAAGAGTCATCCGAGTCCCAAAGGAGTCATGACCTACAGGTTGAGAATCACTGCACTTGATGAATCATAGGAGGTAGACTGAGCTTTGTTGAAAGTAAATTCTAGCAGCTTAACTCTTGCCTGAGTTCTTTAAGTACCATCACCATAATGTAGCATATTAGATAATTTTTTAAATTTTGAAATTAATATATAATTATGTGTTCCCGCATTTCTCCCTTCCATCCCCACCCCCTTCCATGAGCCTTGCCCATCTTTTTCCATCTTAAATTCATGGCCTTTTCTTCATTAATTGTAATTTTTACACACATACAAATAAATATATAAATAAAACGTACTTGGCCTGGCCAATAATACTTATATTTGTATGATTTCAGGATGATCAATTTTATTGAACAGCCTATAGTGCCTTCATACATGTGGAATATTATTTTTCCCACTCTCAGAAGCTCTTGGTTGCCTGTAGTTTATTTCTATGGATATGATCCTATGGTAGTCTGAATGAAAATGACCCCACAGATTCATCGGGAGTAGCAATGTTAGACTTGTTGCTTTGTTGGAGGAAGTGTCACTGGGCAATGTGCTTTGAGGTTTCAGTGCAAGCAAACCTAGTTACTCAATGTCTCATGCTATGGCTGGTGAATTCAGATGTAGAGCTGTCAGGTACCTCTCTAGCATCCCATCTACCTGCATGATGCTAAGCTTCCTACCATTACAATAATGAACTAAACCTTGGAACTGGAGGCAGGTCCAATTAAATGTTTTCTTTTGGAAGAGTTGCCGTGATCATGGTGTCTTCACAGCAATAAACCCTAAACTAAGAGAAACACCATAAGGTTTTCCCCTTTCGTTTTAGCATGTCTATTTGTGTTATAATTGCTCAGGTCCTGTTTATGCTACCATATTGCCGAATTATCTTTGCATTTATGAAGACTACCTCATATTCTGTCTCTTAAAATCTTTCTGTTTTGAAATATTCCCTGAACTGAATGTGATTGTTTTGTAGAATTAAGAACTCAGGTTGAACACACTATAATTGTTTTTTCTCAACATTTTGACTAGCTGTGGATTGATATAGTGGTCTCTGTCTTTTGCAAATTTAAGTTCTTGAAGCCACATATACTCAGGATAAAATAATAATAGGTATTCTTGCAGCATGGGTATTTAATTTAGTAATTAAAGCTGTGTAATTTCAAGTTTTTGAACCTACAATGCATGAATGAATAACCAAAAGTTTCCAGAATGTATTGAGTATATGATTGGTGAAAAAAAGGTACTCAAACTACACAATCTTATTAATTTCCCTTTAGGTTATGTGTTTGTTTTTAAAATAGTATTAAATACACTTAAGCCATTTACACATATTCTTTAAATGATTATTAATTAAAATATGAATTAAGAAAATTAAAGAATAAAGATGATTGTTCCTTATAAAGATTTCAATGACTTGTTTGGGATTTGCTCTTGAGTTCTTAAGATTATTCAGGAATTTTAATCTTGGACTAACAAAAAATGACATTCGAATTTCCGGTTTTTGTTATATGGTCTTGGTCTTTCACAACTTTGACTAACAATAAGAAAATCTCTGCTTTTCTAACTGAGATCTGTCTCACATCTAATGTGTCTCTTTCTTCTTCTTGTGCAACCTTTCCTTGGTATCAGCGGCTGCATCAAAAAGTAAAGTCAAAGGTGAGCTTTATTCCATTCTGCATGATGTGTAACTTTTCAATTTCTGCTCAGTCGTCTATTATCTCTTTAAAGATGAAATCACTTCTATGGGTATTCTTTTGCTCTGTGTCTTTTTATAAATTTCTACAAACAAGAATACATTATTTAAAGATTTAGTTTGTGATGCATGGTCGTATTTGCATGGTGGTTGCAGTGTTACTTTTTAGCACATTATTTTATGAATTAAAGTGCTTTGCTTAGATGAATTTTTGCTTTATTTATAAAATTGAGAATAAGATGAAATATACCACGTAAATGACATTAAAAGAAAATAGGGTGAACCTTCATAGAATTAAAGTAAAATCAAATGTTCTAAAAAGTAAGTAGTTTCTACTCTGAGATTCTATTAATTGATGTTCTTTCATTTTATGTGTAAATTTAGTTTGTCTCTAAAAGATATATTAAATATGATGTCATGTTGCATACATTTGGTCAATGTCAAAAATGTCTCCCCAAAAGAACAAAAATTTGCCTTAATGTTTTCAATCATTAATGAGTTTGAAAGAACCCAAACATATGTAGGATAGTGTGTGATAAATATAAAATTTATCCTTTTCACTTCAATGTTTCCTGGAGTTATTGATACTATCTAAAATGCTGTATAGGCTGGCATATAGCTCAGTGCCAGGATGATTTCCTAGAAGCACAGGCCTTTCATTCAACTCCAAGTACATATATACATAACAACAACAAACAAAACAAAATAGATGAACAAATACCCTTTATTTTCTCAAATACTAAAGCTAGCTTGTTTAAACTTTGGACTCGGGTTCTAGTGCTGTAGTTTAATTATCTGGTTTATAACAATAATTGCTGCTTCTTACCTCTAAGTTCTAGAAATCTTTACAATTATTCTGAAGACACATTCGTTTATAGAGCCCTATGGATATAGAGATGAGAGGCAATCCATTGCAGCCTGTCTCCTAAACCCTTAGCCTGCTTCCTGTCCCATTGGATGTGGCTTCTGGAATTCTGAACAAAATTTTCTGAGTGGTTGGTGAATATTAACAACAAACATATTCACAGTCCAATAAAAGTTACGCTTGATAATGAGTTTATGCTCATAAACTTTTAAACATAATGCATTTTATAATAAAAGGTTACAAAGTACGGTTTTAACAAAGAGCAATTAAAACAATTTATAGTAATTGTTATAATTAATTGTGGAGAGTAGCATGGAAGCATAAAGAGGGTTAGTTATGGTTGGAGGTGTTCGGGAATGGTGTAGAACATGAAATGGTTCTCGAGGATGGAAAGGAAGTGCACATAACCTGAAGTTTAGGGTAACTAAAGTTATGGAATCAGGCATGAGAACAGTGGATTATAATCAAGAAAGAGGTCATTTTTAACTGCACACTGCATGTTTATCTAGGAATTCAGAAAAATAAAGTTGAAGATTCTCCAACAGGAAATGGAATGATGGGGACAATCATTGATACATTATCAACAATCCTGTTGGATTAATCAAGTATTTACTGACTTAATAGTTCTCAAAAATAACTAAAGCTATAGGACAAAAGATAGAGAACTTAAATGTAAGAAAGTAAGCACATGACCAAGAAACACAGCTGTAGATTATACTCCACAGTAGCTGGAGTTCTGTAATTCAGGCACGTTTCTGTGCTGAGTTCAGTGATTCCTCCTCCTCCTTCTTTATTGTTCTGCATTAACAACTTTGTTTATCTCCCCTCTCTACTTCTCTGTAAGTCTGTATGGAACCTTGCTGCAGTTTGTTCTATGCCCATTCTATGCATGAAAATGATATTATAAATGGCAAAATGAGACATTTAGAATCAATTATACCTCAGAATCACAGTAATTGACTTCTAAATTGTTTACGAAAGATATACATTTTGCTGGCAGTAATGTTTTATATGCATTACATTAAAAATGCACACAAATGTAAGCAAAAAAAATCTGCCAGTACCTGACGTCTGTCCCTTATTTTTCCACACAAAATCCTATACTTGGGTACCTTTTCACCCCACGGGAAAATATCTAACATTGAGAACTACTGATGACAAGAAGAGGAAAAAATGAGAATTAAATGTTTCCACTCAAAATAGTGTACTCTTAAGCAGCCCCTCCGTGTATGTGGCATGCTAGTGATACACATTTTGTAAAGACAGCACACAGGTTGGTATCTTCAAAAATGCCAACTAGATAGGCCTCACTGACCTCCTGCCTGCAAAATACCCATAGCTGCCGCCTGGAAGCATACAACATGCAAGAACATGCTTTTTGATTTTGTCTGTGTTCTGTGCTTGTTCCTGAAAGTTTACTATTATAATAATTAAACTATAAGAAAAATTAGAGAAAGATGGACATTGAATGAAGATATCTGACAGAATTGCTCCACAAAGATAAACATGTCTGCGGAAAACTACACAAAGCTATCCTCTGTCCTGTGTGCACATAAACACACACCTGAACACGTATGACTAGGTGTGCTAGCTAGAACACTCACACATACATACATCTATACTTATGAACTTGTTTCAAGCTAGAATACACACATGAACATACATGCAGAGAGAGAGAGAGAGAGAGAGAGAGAGAGAGAGAGAGGAGAGAAAAGAAACAACTGTGAACAGAAGCAAAGCGACAAACAGCAGACGATATGAAACTTAAGAGCCTCAGTCCTCGATTCTCTTTGCTTTCCATTATCATAATGTTTTTGTGCTCATTAAATAAGAAAAGCCTGAGAAAACACAAACTGTTGAAGCAGGAAGTTTTGGTGTCAGAAGCTGAGGAAACACTAACAACATTACATCTTGGACCCTACCTAACGCATTTCTGAAGCTGTATTTTCTTTCTGTTTTGGAGATGGTGACATGACTGGTCTATTTAAGTTTTCTAGAAAAGTTTCTCTTTTTTATATCCATGGGTACTAATTCATATAATCACTGTTTTTATAGTTTCTTACACTAATAGTCTCTGGTTCAATAGTTATCACTATCTCCTTGTAAAGTCTTTTCATTATAATAGTAAAAACTATTTTTTTTTTATTTTATCCTGCAAAATTGAATTCACCACAGCTTCTTATAGCAAGAGCATCTCAAAATGCCTTTCACTTCCCCTCCCCTACAGCCCTCATGGCACTTATAGGCACTTAGTTATCAAATTGTCCTGATTCTGTCCCCACAGTAGCTTTTATGTGAATCTCTTGTCTTCAAAACATTCATTCCTCTGAGCTTGCCTGGAGTTGTTTTTAACTAGTTTCCTGCTTAATTCTCAACCCAGTGCAGTCTACTCTGCATTTGTATATCATACTGAATTTTAAATAGGATCATCAATGCTTTGCCACTTAGGAAGATAGAGAAAGAGCATTCTGGAGAATTCTCAATATGAATTTGTGTAAAATACTTTTCATCTTCTTATCGAATTATACAAATTAGAGCAAATTTATCTTAAATTAATATTGTTTTATAATATTATAATTTTAATAATCTGAATCTAGAAAAAGTATTTTACTCTCTAATTTTCATTTCTTTTTTTCTATTCAAACTTGGGCAAAAATAGAAAAGATTTTATGCCATTTCTAGCACAACAGTATTTAGGTATTGTTTTCAAAGCAGATGCTATAACTCTTAGAATCATATTGTCATTATAAAATGCTCAGATGTAAATTAGCATAATTATTCTGATTTTCCAAAAGAATTAAGAGATACAGCAGAGTTCTCAACTACCTAAATTAAAATGTATATATTGTTTGAAATGGAAAGTGGCAACTATATTTAAATTTGCTTAATTTTGGAATACTCATACTTAAGATAATTTGATAATCTTAGTCTCTGAATGTGTATTTGAATATGATATGCAATCAATATATAATATTTAAGTTAAACATAAGGGTACATAAGACTTTAAGTTTAAAACATTGTTTTGCCGCTCCCATGGTTTGCCTTAGGTGGAACACAAATATTTTATTTTGTGTTATAAGGAGACTGTGCACGTTAAGACTTTTATTTTCAAGACAGACACAGGCTGAACCCTGTTTTAGCAATATGTGATGACCTGGCAATTTTTCAAGCTTTTCACTATAGTCAGATTCAAAATTAGATTGGTCTACCTACTGAAAGAGATTAATATGGAAAATTGTACAACCTCTTAATAAATTTTATTTATTTCTGTTATATAACTATCACTCTTCAGATGGCATCTCTGATAGGAACAAACAAATATGAAACAGTTGAAGACATGCTTAAAAATGTTTTTGAGTATCAGCTGAATTTCATGGTCACAATGACACTCATAATGTTATCATCATTATAAACTGAGATGACTCCTGAACATATAATGTCAATAATCCACTAAGTAAGCAGCCTATCTTTCTTATTTTTATATCTAAGGTTAAATTGTATAAATATCACAGGTAAAGTTAATTTTAACTCAAATCAAAGAAAAATGAGTATTAAGAAAGTTATTATTAAATAGTTGATATGACACTTAAAATATAAAATTAACTTGTTTTTCATTATCAGTGAAAGGACAATTGAAAAATAGAAGGCAGAACAAAATTTAAGTACTTCTATAAATCCATGCTTAATTTTAACTTAAATGATCTCTTCTACAGTTTCAAAACCTTCACCAAAATAACTAATCAATAAACAACTTTTGAAGCTTGTGCTTATTTACGCATAAAAGGCTGAGCTAGAGAAGCAAATGAAGTAGGTAAACACATGTAATAGAATGGTAAAACATCTTATCTTACTGTGATTTACAACCACCAAGGACTCCTGGTGAAGATATTGAAGTGTGTCTTTCTACAAGACAATTTTCCTTATGTACATCCCAGGTAACCTTACTGCTCTAAGATATTTATTAAAGAGAGTGCTATACACAATAGAGAAATGAATTTTATGAGGATATAATCTGATACTAAATAATATGTCATCAATTAAAAATCTGAGAATAATAATTTAAGAAACTAATCCTTCTTGGACCATAGAGTGGATCTT